TTTCATTTACTTGAGGTGTCTTCTGTCTGCACGCTGTAAAAGCTCAGGATCCTTTACAAAGGAGACTTTAGTTCAGCACCACTTTCAGCAGGTGGATGGACGGCACTCATTTTATTTGCTTCTCTTGCTTACCTCTTTCTTCTGTGTTTGTATGCTCTACTCTTTCCTAGAACTGGTGAAGATTAAGTATGTTTCGTTTAGCCCTGTTACATTGCTAGAGTCTTTTTTGGGGTGTGGGGGTTTGTAACCATAACTGTTCAAAATTGAGATTGTGACATACTGACCAATTTGATGTGCTCTGTTCATCTTAAAATATAATGTTGCTGGAAATAATTATAAATTGTTGAAAGCACGATTGGAATTCTGGTTCTGTTACATTTGCTCCAGCTTTTTATTTATTGTTCAGTGTGATTTTTCTGTGTGAGATTTGATTCAACGGAATAAAGAAATGAAAGTAATGTTGAGAAAACTAATTTAAGCTCTAGTGATCATTCTTCACTTATTTTGCTAGATTAGTAGAAAAGCCAGCTTATGAGCAGTGCCTATATGCTCTTTTCTGTAGCAGCTTTGTTGTTTCAGATGTATATGGCTTATGATTCTGTCTGTAAAGTGCTTTTACGTCTATGTTGTGGAGGGCATGCAGTAGTCTTTTTTCAGCTGAAGATAATACAGTTTCTTAAACTGTAGTCACAGTTTTGAATCAGGTCCCATTTCTAAATTAAGAGTAAGTTAGTATGAAAGCAGCAGTGTTTTTTGTTTTTTGGACAAAATTAGCGAACTGAAATTCTAATTATGAATAGGTGGTTTTAGTGATAGATCTATCTCAAAGTGTTACATGCTATTGTACCATTAAAATTCTTTGTCGATTTTGTTGTAGTATTAACACTGACATTGTTGTTTTTTACACTAATTGGTTTGTTTGAGACACTGTTAGACTTGCACTTTTATAACTTAACCTGTTCCTTTCATAATCACCACCATTCTAGGGCACAGAAACTGATCAAAAAGACCCAATCCATGAGGTAGGTTTTAAAATACAAAAAAACCCCAACCTTCGTTCATATCTTTGCGTCTTTTACGATGTTAACTTATCAAGTGTTTGGGTCCTAGTCAAGTAATTGTAAACAGTTTTTGTTGTTGTTGGAAAGTGTTTTGCCAATGATGAGTGCTTTGAATGCTTATGTATTTACTGTTTTGTGTATTTTAGTAAGTACATTTCTCTGTCACTGTCGCACATATTTATTCTTAGAATTGAGCTATGGTAAGCTATGTTTCTTGGTGCGTCGGCCTCCTGTGGTTTAGATTTTGGATAATATGCTTCAAGTGAATTTTTTAAAGAGGTACCCAATGTCCCACAAACATTGCCAAGAACAGTGATTAAAAGATTCATTATTTTAGGGACATTGACAAATTAAACCATGGTAAAGCTTAGTAAAATTTCCTGGCTATTTAAAAATTAATCCTTGTATGTGGTTATGCTCCAAAAGTTATTTATTAATATGTAGAGACTGTTCAAAATGACAACTTGCATGGCTCATGAAGGGAATACTTTGAAGATTGGCGTTTAAAAATCTACACATGAATAGAGTGTTAGTTTCCCCATAATTATGCAGCTATTTATAAAGAATTGAGAGTTGTTTGAATAAAACATGCTTTTTCTTTATTTCGGTCTAAACATTAGCATTTTCCAGAGGTACATGAGAATTTTGTTCTCCTGCAGATAAATAATTTGAAGCTGTTGCTAGAAGAAGAAAAAGAGAAGGTCAGAGCGCTACAAGAACAGGATCAGACTAAAGTAAAACAGGTAAGACTGGCTTGTCTATATAACCAGTTTGTCATGAGATCGGTTTGTCAAACTACGTTCTTTAGGCACGGTAGATACATGTGCGCGCACTTACACACATGCGCGCACTCACACACAGACACACGCACATGTGAGGGCACACACATGCATGCACACTCACATATACACACACTCAGAAATGCACACACTCAGAAATACACACACGTATACACATTCTCAAATACACACATGCTCAGGCACATACACACATGCACAGGCACACACACATATGCACAGGCACACTCACACACACATACACACACTCACATTCACTCACTCACACTCACACATATACACACACATGCAGACACACACCCACAGATACACACTCACATAACATATAAACACACCTATTCAAGCACACACACACACACACACACACACACACACACACACACACACACACACACACACACACACACACACACACACACACACACACACACACACACACGCACACACCTACACACACACTCACATGGATGACCCACATATAGGAAAATACTCACACGCTCACACACAGACACACACACAGACACACACACACACACACACACACACACACACACACACACACACACACACACACACCACACACACACACACACACACCACACACACACACACACACACACACACACACACACACACACACACACACACACACACACACACAAACACACACACACACACACACACACACTGACACACACTCATTCTCACACACACTTACACGCACACACTTAAACTTTTGAAGAGACCAGAGTGGAATCAAGTTCAGGATAATCCGGACACAAATTTTAATCATTTATGGAATAGATTTGCTTTATTAGTAATCAAAGAGAAGAAAGTGTCATTATGTAAAACTCATCTTAGAGGTCTTGATATTTGGAAGAAAGTGTATGATCCAGGAAAGAGAGGGAGGCCTGTAATATGAAGCTTTCATATTTTTAAGGAAGTTGGACATTTATTTGAAAAAGGAAATATTTAATGTGATGCTATTTATTTATTTATCATGATTACTGTCATCTCAAAACTCACTCAGCCAATCCCCTTCTTCGCCTACATAGGTAAGATTGAGCACTTAATCTTTTTGGATAAGGACAGAAAGTCTCCGAGGTTCTGTGTTCACATTACGCAGGTTCAAGATCGCTTGATGGTTGACAATCGTAGAAGAGGAGGCTGTTAAGCCACCACTCTGGCAAAATTCAAAATTCAAAATCTACCTGCGGTAAAGAATATCCCTATCATTGCACACCTGTAAAATAGTGAGACACCCCCTAACATCTGCCTTGATTCCAAATGTATTGAGCATGTCTCTCTTTTGGAGCATATCAAGGATGTAAAAGATCTAGATCTGAAGGGAGGGAAGTAGTGCTAGGGCAATCTACATCCTCTTTGTGTACTGTCAGGCAATGATGTATCTAGCATGTTGCTTTTTAAGGTAGTCTGTCAAGGTGCAAAAGCCAGAAGGTTGTCACCTCAATGGAACCTTTTCAATTCAGATGGGTGGCTGATAGGTGCTCTGGTCTGCTTTTTTCCTTCTACATCATGTACTTTTTGGTTGTTTTTTTTAAAACCCTGGCTAATTTTATCATCTGGCGCTTTTGTGTTTAGTAATAACAACAAACTGTGCAGCATTTTGGATTTTGAAATTACCTATTAGTCTTAGAGTAAGCACTCAGGAGAATGTTTTACATATAAATACATCATGTACTTCTTATCAAGATAATTGTCCTAAACTGTCCATTGTGAAATGTTGGGAGAGGAGGGAGGAGCAGCTATGGCATTGTACCGCTGCAATGATGTTTATTCTCCAACCAAGTAAGTAAGTAAGTAAGTAAGTGGCTTGCAGTTATCCTCTTCTCAACAATCACAACTTTTTTGACAGATTGCTGCTGATGATCAGAATCCCAACCTGGACAAGATGGACAAGGAAGACAGTGGGAACACCTCACTGGGCACAGAGGAAGATGTGACACTAGGTACCTTATGCTGTTCTTGTTTCTGCCGTTGTGTTAAAAAAAATTGATCCATTGTGCACCAACTCAGGTTGTAAAATTCCTACAAACTGGTATTTGTGGTGTCTATGTTAGACGTTTTGCTGTCACCTGCATAAGATGTGAGTTTATTTCTCATGTGGGGAGAATTTTTATTGAGTATCTCTCTGTCTTTCTGTTGGGATGATGTGGTTGCTTTTAAGCACAAGGGGGCTATCCCAAAAAATGCTGTTTTTGAGAAAATTGAAGGTAAAGTTTTTGCCCCTTGTTCAGTTTCTTTGAAAATCAAGGAGAGTATTCTCTATAACCAAACAAATATACACACCAATGAAACCAAACTTCTCCTATAGGTGGGGCAATGCCTACTTTAGGTGTAGGTCAAGATTTCTGGAAACCCCCGAAATCTGGGTTAGCCCTCTTGTCCTTAAAAGTGACCTCTCATTTCTCTGCCCGGGTTGGTCCTGACAGGCAGGGTTGAAGCCCGGGTCCTAAATGATCAAGTTTGTGTCGAAACACTGACACTTAAAAAAAAAAAAGAAGCGAGTACAATGATGTGAATGAATGAGGTTTGAATCTGTTTTGGAAAATAGGCTGTTAGGAGAATTTTGGAAGGTCTCCCTTCATTCAATCAAAGATGAACATAAATTTGTTGGTACCTTTATTAACAATCTAGAAAGTATGGAGGTTTTGTACTGTTGAAAGTCAGATCAACTTTTGTTAAGTGTTCCACGTTTTCTGTGTTCAGATTGTGAAAGACGGGTGGCTGAAGGGTGCCACTGGTAGGTCCTACTTCTTTTCTCTCCCTCTGTCGTTTTTTTTCTCTACCTTTCTCACTCTTTCCCTTCCCTAAATGACCATTATGTGTGTCAATGTCTTTCTCCTTACTCAAACAAACAAACAAACAAGATTGTGAAGGGCAAATGTTATATAAGCTGTTTAGGTAAGAGGTTGAGAATTATATTTATTTATATGTTGTATGGAGAGGAAATATAAAGTGCTTCTGAGAGAACATGCTTATAGTTACGGCACAAAAAGAAGTGTTTCATGGTCAAGTTATGTTTAAACAAAGTACTCTCCTTGCTCAGACAATATTTGCCAGATTGAACAAATCTTCATGAATGTATTTGTGAGACAGCATGGTGAAATCAGGCGCTCATCAAAATGACGAAATCAGAGAAACAGGCATTTTTTCGCCAGTTTGGAAATTTTTATCGAATTTATATTTTTTGGCTTAACCTCTTTTATGTACATATGAAAGCACATTTCCCTGTGAATTTTACTGAAAAACATTGATTAAAGGCACAAAATGTGTAATTTTACAGTTTTCACAGACGCTTTAGATATTGGAATTACAAACTTTGGCAGCTATTTTCCCGCTAATTTTAATACCAAAACCAAGCAACCTCACCTCCTTCAATCGCAAATATCTTGAGTTCTATTCAAGACAAATGGATGCTTGTTTCATTGGAAGTAAGGCAAGTCTATCGAATTTCAAATGATTCCAATAACTCCCGATGCCTAAAAATTGACCAGCGCTTGATTCCACCTCGTCGTGACACATCCATTCTGTCTTTGATTGTAGTGTTTAATAATGTTACTGACAGTTTTATGCCCATTCCTGTGAATGTAAAGAAACCACAAAAAAAAGGGGGGGGGGAAATAGATAGGGGACATAACATTATTCAACACAGGCCAGGAAGCGCATCATGTCTAATAATGTTTATATGGTTTTTTATATTCTAGGAAAGAACATCCCTTTTCAGGTCTTTTTTAATATAGTTTTTGGTTTGATATGCAATGATTTGTTCATGTGATTAAAAATGATATATAATGATTTGTTCATGTGATTAAAAAAGAAACTGATTTCACAAGCATTCACATAAAATGCTATGTTTTTGTTTATGGTGGGTGCTTTGAATGCTTATATTGTATCTATTGTAAAGTCTACTGGTGCATTTGACAGTAGGCAGGATCTGATGTAGCTTTTCTCTCACTTTGATATCTGTGGCTTTGATTTGTCCTCAGTAAAACTGACCGGTGGATCTGGACTGAATGATGGCGAGACAATAGGAATGCTGAGAAGCCAACTTCTAGCACTGAAAAACGAGAATGAACAACTGAAAACAGCTGTGGTATGAACAAACATTGGATTTCCTCATTACTCTTTTACTGTTGCTTGACAAGAAACATTAACTTTTTTGACCTTTTGTGACAGAATCGTTACAATGATACATTGTTTGGACTTGGTGATTATGATTTTAAAGAATAACATTCTATTTAAAAAAAAACAACAACACATTCAGTAACATTGAAACTGATCTTGCACCTTTTTTTATTTTTTCTTCTGCTGCCTTCTGCCAGATTTGTAAGTCGAGTTGACTGCCCTCTGTTGCCACATTCCGCTTTTGCATATCACTTAAAATTTGTCCCTGTTGTAGGTTCACTTTAAAAAATTAAGAATCTTCCCAAAAGCTTAGCAGAACCAGCTTTCTCTGAAATAAGTTCTGGGATATGTGGTGCATCCAGAGGTCTTGAGTCACTGGAAATCTTTTACCATTCTTGTGTTTTGTTGTCTGTACCACATATTTGTTTTTATACCCGTGTGTGCAAGCCAATTACTGACAAATGGTTGCTGTGCGTATTGAGAATCATTATGTAGAGCATGCTTTGTTAATTAACAGTAATGGACATGAAATTGTGCAGTGCTGAAGTAGCCACAGCCACATCATAGCATGATCATTTCTATCACCATGTTGTCGTCATGTGATTGATGAATGGGATTTGTTCTCGAGCAGCTATACGTCATATGTACCTGTGTGTCATTGTCCTGACTTTGCTTGCAGGTAAAGTGAACAAAATTGCATGAGATACATCTCGTAACAGAAAAAAATCAGACTCTCTTCCGTTGGCTTCACTCTCCTTTGATATCTGTCACGTTCCTCAGGAAAATTCTTTTGGTCTGTTTGTCTCTTTTGCTTTCTCTCTCTATTTCATGTCAGGCACAGTGTTAGCTCAGCTTTTATTAATCATCAGCTTGATTGCTATGTGTATGACTCTGTGGTTTGAATCCCTCTGGGATCTTCTTGAATTTGAGATCTGACGGGAGTCAGTTGACTGTTTGATCATTTGTTGGACTTATAGTTAATGGATCTATATCGGCGCTCCCGTTTCTTTATTCATTCTTTATATATCATTTTGTACTATAACTCTCATGACGAGATAAATTTGCTCTGCTTAGGAATTAAATAAAACATCCATAAAGCTTTGATAGGGGAATTTAAAGCCACACCACACAACACCTTTTCGTATCATACCTGACTTTGTTTAATTGTGTTTCACTTCCATTGAGTTGTCTGTCTCGGTTCACTTGTATGATGGAGCTCCTTTCAATATCTTCTGTGATGTGTTGCATATATCTAAACAAAACATGATACTTGTTGTAAGGAAATATGTGGCTCTTTATCATGTAGCTCAGTGCAGACATAGCACATGTACAAGCTCCATTGCATTTATATACACATACACATTCTCTCTCTCTCTCTCTCTCTCTCTCTCTCTCTCTCTCTCTCTCTCTCTCTTTCTCTCTCTCTCTCTCTCTCTCTCTTTCTCTCTCTCTCTACCTCTCTCCCTCCTACTTTCACACACACACACATACACACACACACATTCACACACACACACACACACACACACACCCACACAGGTACACCCCCCCCCTCCACATACACACACACAAGTGCTCACTCACATATACGCTGTGCATTTATTCTCATTCTATTGTCAGTGTAGGCTACACTGTTTGTAGATTTGTTGTCAAAGTCAAAGACTCTTTCACCGATATTTCAAAATACCGTCTTTCACCCAGTTATATTTGAAATATATTTATATACAATTGATGCATGTATGACTGTCTTTCTGTCACATTGAAACTGCCATGATTGAAAAAAAAAAATGGACCTGCAGCTTTTTGTATTCACAATAGTGTTTGTTTTATTGACATCACGGAATTGCCTGTTCTTTTATTGTCTCACTTCTTTAAAGTTTGAAACTCTTTGAATCTTCTTAAAATGGATTTGATGAATAAGAACTAACTTGCCAAGTATGTTTGTGAATAACTATGTGGTTTCAAAAGTAGTTGAAAGGGAATGTTATGGGTTTCTTACTGCATGTTGAGTGGGGATTTGCGCTATACAAATTATTATTATTTCATGTAGGCTTTTTAAGTTTTGCTAAAAATCAAATTTCTACTATCTATTTGATCTAATCTTGATGGTAATTATATGTTGAGGCAATGTTCAATTATTTGTTAATCAATTTGGCTACTGCTTCATTGCATATTATAAGGGAGACCCTGACCAGTGACTTCATGTCGCTTCTAGTTTTACTGTAATGACTTGTTTCTTTCTCAAGTTCTTTCTTTTTTGTTTGTCTTCTGTCTTCTTTTCGACAGTTCCATTATTGTCTGTTGTGTGGGTCGTCTTGACAGTTGGTGCCAGCCTAAAAGCTTCTTTAACCCAGCCACTGCATTGCTCTAATCCAGGCATGGTACATAGGAAAACGTGTCCAAGTCTGTGTCAATGAACGAGTGGCAATTGTTGTCTCTCATCTTGCTGACCAAGCTTATGTTTGTGGGTGGTTGGTGGGCGCTCTGGTGGGGTGTGCTCCTTCTTTCCTGTCAAACATCTATTGTACTTATCTCTCCTCCTTCTTTTTCTTGTTTGTTAGTTTTTAGTAACATCTCTAATCTACGGCACGCATATGACTTATTTGTGTTGCAAATGCACTAAACTAAAACTAAACATATGATTTTGCCTCGCACATTTTTGACCATTAATTTGTTTTCAGGAATTGCTGTTGGTGTACTAATGTTTGTCCCATTCAGAATATCTCAAATATCACTCGTTAGCGAAGCCCTCTGTCACCAGCAGTGCTGAGAGCCTGCTGTGGTAGTTTTCATCTTGTCAAGGAAGCAATGCGTTTCAATACTTGACTTTCCAATTTTGTTGCAGAGCCTCCCTAATGGTGATATTGGGAGTGATAAAGATGTAGAGTCTGAGCCTTCTGAGGAAGGCAAAACTGCTCAGCTGCAACAGATCAAGACCATGCAGTTTGAAATAAAGCAACTGCACTCACACATCAATGAGGTGCGCACCTAGTGTTGAAGATGTATTTCATGATTCTTTGTATGGTTAGAAAAAAATTGGAGTGATTGAATGAATGGAATATTTATGAACACCCGACTTCACACATAGTGGTACAAAATAGTTTCACATATTTTCAGAAGACTTATCAAAACTGAAATATTTTATTTCTTTGCTGTGACTTTACCAAATGAAGGAACAAGTGAAACATGTTTTTTAAGTTCTCAGAAGTCTTGCAATATAACCAAACTGAAAGATTTTTATTTCTTTGCTTTTACCTTTCTAAATGAAGGAACAAGTAACGCATTTTTATTAGGCCTCAGAAGTTTTGCAATATTACTTTGCCGTCATTATCTTGACCGTAATATGTTCACAATGTTTCTTCCTGCACAGACCATTCCATTTGTGTTAACTTTGTTGAATTTTTAACTGTGGGTGAACAGTTTTCACCAGTTCCAGAGTTTGCTCAACAACTTCCAACACTGTTGGCTAATGCTATGTTAATCTTTGCACCCCTAATGCCTGGCTTGAATAATGCATTATTGAATTTTTATTGAGTGGTGTGGCACTAAATGAATATTGATTTGCTTTTGAATTAAGGAATACAATGAGTGTTTTATTTAAATTTGGCAACACTGTGCTGCTCCGTCAGTGCAGTCTCTTGGCTAGTTATGAATTTTTTTATTTTTGGTGTATCAAAGACAGCTGCTGATAAGTTTTCAAAATATGAAATCATTTTAGTTCTACCTAATAACTAACTGTGATCAATTTGTTTCTTTTGAGTTTCAAATACCGACACTTGGAGGATGCCCATAGTATGTTGACTCTTTATCAATAATGTATGCAGAACTCCCCCTCTTCTCATCCTCCATCAATGTCTTTAGATTACACCTTAAGTTATCGAGGTGTAATTTGTAGACACTGATCGAGGTGTTCATTGAGAGATGCATGTTATAGAAGTTGCTTATTTTTGAGTAGTTTTGACAAAGTATTTCAGTGGGGATAAAACTCACCCTGGAAGGTTTTATATGAAGCATCCTGATGATGGTCTCCTTCACTACACATGCAGGAATTGCAGTATCTAAAGATCAAGGCTTTTATAAAGTGACCTCCATCTTCTTATTTGACTGTAAAGAAGATTACTCTCTCTTGAGGATTAGACTTCTAGAAAATAACTTCAGTTATAGTCTTTGATCTCTATATCTTAAACAAAATAATACTGTGGGAGTGGTGCAGCCCCCCCCCCCCCCCCCCCCGCCAAGTCATCCCAAGGGGTTGAGTTTATAAGTTCTTGTTCTATGTTCTCACAATAGGTACTCTACATTACAAAGACTTTTTTATCCTTATTGTCCTCTTGGGAACTTTTCCTCGCAGCTGCTGATAGTGATTCATTAGAAAGGAATACAGTTACAACAGAACTGGTACATAGAAGACAACCACGAATGAGTAGTGTTTCTTTCTTTCTCCCTCTCTACGCTCGAAAACGATCATTATGAAAAAATTGTACAAAACCTTTATGTGTTCCTCTTTATTGAGTTAACCTGGCCATACACACACATATATCCCCTCGATGCTTAACGGCAACAGAGGGTGAAGAAGTGAAAAAGTGCACACATATATACGCACAGTCTAACACCGAATGAAAGATTTTGTAAGAAAGCTTTAAAGTACATTTGCAATTGTTTAAAGTGTCCACCCACAGTTGAGGAGTGACTGTCTTAGTCTTATACAGATGGATATCTTACACAGTGTCAGTATAATATATATATTTCTGGTCTCTCTCCTTGAAGAATATATGTGAAGCATGCAGACAAAATGAGTTACTTATTGGGTTTGAGCCCTATGGAAATAGATACAGCAAGCTTATAGTTGAAGTTTTTACGATTTATAAGTATGAAATAATAAAACGCATGTTAAACTTAAAGAATATGGAATCAATAGAAAATCTGTAAATTTGACCCTAGTGTCGATTTTTGGTCGATATATTGATTTGTGAATTGCTAGAAGTAACTTATTTTGTCAGCGCGCCTCACATATATATATATTTATATATATTTGAAAAATAAAACCAAGGGGAAATTGGGAAGTGTCCGTTTGTACAGGTGATTGTCTTATACAAGTGGCCTTTAGAGCAAGATTGACTGTGTTCAGAATTAGCTTGAAAGAGGATCTTTCGGTGTTAAGCCAAAAAAACAAAAATTCGCTAAAAATTGGTCAAAGAGGGGGAAAAATTCCTGTTTCATTCTTCACTTTCATTATTTTGACGAGCGCCTGATTTCACCACACTGCCTCACATATATGTATTTTTTGGGTGGATCCACAGCGGAAAGACGAGTTGGAGAAGCATCTGTTGAGCAGCGCGGTGGACCAGGAGGAGCTGCTGCAGCAGAACGCCTCGATGACCTCGGAGGTCAAGGGCCTGAAACAGCAAGTGGCACTACTGGAGGAGGCTCTGGAGGCGGCCAAGACCGAGGGTCCTACGGAAGCCCAGAGACTGGACGCTTTGCTCGAGCAGAGCCGCAACTTCTTTGAGGTCAGTGGTTTGGGACATGCTGTTTATAGGACTATGTGCTCATTGTTTTATATTTTTGTGATTGTCCTTGTTTGGGACATGCAGTTTTTAGGAGTACAGGCTCATTGTTTTTGTGTTTGTGTAATGTTCTTGATTGGGACATGCTGTTTATAGGACTATGTGCTCATTGTTTTATATTTTTGTAATTGTCCTTGTTTGGGACATACAGTTTATAAGACTACGTTCATTGTTTTGTATTTTATGTAATGTTCTTGATTGGGACATACAGTTTATAAGACTATGGGCTCATTGTTTTATATTTTTGTAATTTTACTTGTTTGGGACATACAGTTTATAAGACTATGGTCATTGTTTTGTATTTTTGTATTGGGCTTGTATTTTTATCAAGTGGGTGGTTTGAGGATGCAGCGGTGTGGTTTCCTTCTTCTTTCCTACCAAACATCTGTCTTCCTTGTCTCTTTCCCTTTTCTTTGTATGTTACTCTCTGGTAACAGCTCTACCGTCGTCGTTATCTCTCCCCTTTTTCTTTGTATGTTACTCTCTAGTAGTAACAAATCCAATCTTTGACTCTTATGTGACTTACTTGTGCTGCAAGTGCCGTAAAATTCTTACTTACTAAACTAAGATGACAGTCACTTTTTCACCTTTTTTATCTCCTTGTTTAATGTATTCTTAAAAATCTTATAAAGCATTGAAATTGAAACGTGATTCCAATTCTTTGTTTTGTCTCAGGTTTAAACTTTTTGTTGCTGTTAGATGTAAAAGGAGTAGTTTGAGGGAGGATGGTGCCAATAATTCACATTTCTTTGCAGGCTGCCAATACTTCTGTCGGTCATATTGCTCTTTCAAGCACCAAATGACATCAATTTCGATGCATTATTCTTGTATCATTTCAATACTTTTGTTCCTGTCTTTGATGAAAACTTTTGGTGTGTAAAGATTTGAGATGAGAAGTTAGATAGTGGCATCAACAGTCCTGACTGCTTTGCTGACTCCATTCTGATTTGTGTGTGTGCCTGGAGAAAGGTTCCAGTTGTTGAAATTTTTGGATGTAGAAATAAGGGCATATTCTTGAAGCCAATCCAATGCTGGACACGCTGATTTTAACATTTTTCAAATATTTTGAGTGGTATTAAAGATATGTCACTTTTTGTAACATATGGTGTAAAAAGTTAAAACAAAGTTTTGGAGAAAAACCAAATTTTTAGCTCCTTTTAACCTTTGATGAAGTACAACATGCAGCCAAAATAGCAAATAAAAAAATATGAAACCTTAAAATATTATACAATCCTTTCAATATGTTATTAAGGAATGGTTAAACGTGTGTTTTCTGATAGGACTAAATTTTTTACCAGAACAAATATTTTTTGCCTTTTCACCCGGTTGCTCAAAAATAGCTTTGTGGGTGGTTGGCGGGTGCTCTGGTGTGGTTTGCTTCTTCTTTCCTATCAAACATCTATCATCTTTATCTCCCCTCCTTCTTTTTTTGTGTTTGTTACTCTCTTGAAACACCTCTAATCTTCGGAACTTCTATGACCTTATTGTGTTGCAAGTGCTGTAAAACACTTACTAAAACTAAAAAAAAAAATAGCTTTGCCGACAACTGGGACCTTTCTCCAGGCACACACACAGTTTGTCTGTTATTTTCCTTTCAATCATCCAGTTGTGTCAATTTTGTGGATGTGCTTTTATTTCTGTCAAATAAGCAGACAAAATTTTCCTTATGACTGCAGGAAGTGTCGTTTGACGACGACGGCTTTGTGAATGGCCGTGACATGACCAAGGAGGAGTTTCTGCAGTCTCAGAATCAGCAGCTGAAGGCCCACTGTTCTCTGCTCACCGACGAGCTTGAGAAACTTCGTGCCACTTTTGACGCCATCCTCAAGGCTGGTGACAACTTGCAGGCAGACTATGATCAACAGGCAGTGAGTAGCTATGGAGTGTCAGAAGAAAAAAAAGCCCCCCCCCAGGGCAGTGCTACTGACTGAAGTGTCTTTGGGCCTTTCCCAAAGGGGGGATTTTAACATGCTCTTATGCACAGTAGTATTGTAAATGGGCTGATTTATCAATATCATGCTCATTCTGTACTGGAACAACATAGGGGGAACTGTTGCTTTTTCTTTCCTCGTCCTTACTATTATCATTTTTCCTCTACTTCTTTTGTATGTTTGTCACTGTCTTGTGAACTGCTATTTCCAGGGTGCCTTGATAGTCATAGCAGACTTTGTGCTGTTGAGGCTGAAGAGGTGAGCAGAGTTACTCTGATTCCCCGTTTGGACTTCTGTGTTGGCATCCACCCCTTGGCGCTCATATAACCTTATGCAGTTGCAAGCGCCGTAAAACCTTACTAAAAACTAAACTAAAAAGAAAGAAAATATCACCTTCCCTTGAGAGTGTCAACACTGTCTTCAAATAATCACACCTGTCTAATACAAGGTGTAATGACCTAGAAAGTCAGTAGCACAGAATAATGTATCAGTTGTATTACTTGTTATTTATTTGTTTGGTGATGTTGCAAATATATTCATAAAATAAAGGTAAGAAATTGCAATTTTGTCAAAGGGGGAATGACCTTCAATTTAATAAGAATCTTTGAATATACAGCAAGTTGCTATTTTTTAACTATATGTAGAAAGAAAATTGTTTTCAGTACACAAACATGCATCAGTCAGTTTGGGGATAAAGCACAAGCGGGGGACAAGTGTATATATTGTCCACATGTTTCTATTATGGCAATGATTGATATTAGTATTTAGGAAAGAACAAGTAAGATGCTCAGTTTAAGTGCAATTGTTGTTGTATTATTCTTTTCCTAATCTTTTTTGTATCAAGAAATAAGCAGAGTGCAATATTTATTTTGCTCCTCTTTCTTTGTCTGAGTTTTATACCCCCCTAGTAGAATTCAACTGATAAGTTTGTCACTGCTAGAGCAGAATTTATTGAGATACGAAAGTAACCAGTTCAGTCTGAGGTACCATTTTACATTGGAGCAGCCCATATGCAAATGATCTTTTCAGAGGTAGTGGATCTGACTTGTTGGAAAAAGATGGTTGTATTTGATGTTTGGTTTCACTTGCCTGTTGATTAAAAGTCTAATGTGACTCTTGAGTCTTTGCTATGTATTGAAATCTTCAAAGTACAACATTGTGACTTTCCAGGCAGAGAAAGACCAACTTCAAGATGAGCTGGATTTGGCTGTGAAAGAGAAGACGGAAGTGATCAAAGCAAACGAGTTCCTCTTAACAGACAACAATGCTCTTCATGACGATCTGAACAAACTGGTTCACGAACTGGAAAAAATGCAGGAAAAGTTCACTGCGGCTCAGGCGGAGAATGAAGAGCTGAAGCGTAGCGTCGGTGTGGCCAGCAAAGTCGGGGAGGTGGCCAGGTTGTTGGAGGAGAGGGATAAACTGCAGCAGAAGTGTGAGGATTACGACAGCACCGTCATCAGATTACAGGTACGTTGAGATTGGACAGTATACTGGACCAGCTGGGCCTTTGGAACCCCCCCCCCCTCATCTCCCCCCCCATAGATTCCCCTGTCTGAGGGAAAATATCCAAGACATAGTTTTTTTCTGGTTCCCGTGCGATTCTGTCTTAAACGGGTTCGACCGTATTTAATGTTTTGTCTAAGCATATGAATTAACAGCTCACATTTCTAATTTTGTTGAAATACAACTCATAGTAGTGGAACAGTTTCAATGCTTCTATACTTCCCTTAAACTCTTTTGTGACTTGCTTCTTTTTTCATCACATGATCACAAAGCATAAGGAAGAGAGTGGTATTATACTGGGGCATGGCACAGGAAAGGATGGCTTTTTGACGGGTTCATTAGTTTGTTTTCTAGGCATACCTTTTTTTTTGGTGTGTTTTGCCAGAATATTCTTTCATAACAGCTCTCAATCATGTGGACTTCAACTCGAAGTATGTATGGTTCCAACCGAGACACATGTTTGTGAAGACAATTCAATTCTGGAGTATTTTATAATGATACATAGCATCACCAATAGGTCAGCTATGCTTTGAAAAATCTTGTTTGCTGTTACCTGTGCAGCTTTGAATGTATGCTGAACAGTGGATGCTCACATCTGTAAGAAGTGTAATAGGAATCCAATGGCCCGATTTTGGAGTATTTTATAATGATACATAGCAATCGAAACCTATCAAATTAGTAAATTTTTTATTATCTCAAATTCCTGAAAATCTGACTCTGTCATGTTCTTAGGAATTTGAATGCTACCTTTGTTTAACATTTCAAGGTCTGAAGAGTGCGGTTTCTTTAAAAAAATGATTCCAAGGTCAGTGTCACAAGAATTTTATGTAAATATATTCTTCATATAGATAATGTCTGTGTGTCATGGTGAGTGCCTTGTTCCCTCCGCAGCACGACCACGGCATTCTTCTGGAGGAGGTTCAGAGCCTGAGCGAGTCGGTGACACAGCTGACGGCCGAGCGGGACCAGCTGACCGCTGACCTGGAGGTGATGGAGTCGGTCTGTCAGCAGAATGAAGCCTTGCAACAGGACTACGGCCAGGTCAGTGAGCTTCAAGTGTAGTGTCTGCAGATTGGGTAGAATTGATTTTGACTTTGGACGTGTTTATATGGTTGCTTCTAAGCACGAGGGGGCTATCCCCAAAAATGCCGTTTTGAGAAAATCGAAGGTAAAGTGTTGCCCCCCTTGTTCAGTTTCTTTAAAAGACAAAGAGAGTTTTCTCTATAACCAAACAAATAGAAACACCAATGAAACCAAACTTCTCCTATATGTAGGGCAATGCCCACTTTTGGTGTAGGTCAAGATTTCTGAAAACCCCCCGAAATCTGGGTTAGCCTGCTTGTCCTTAAAAGCGACCATATTTAAGTTGTTGTTGTTGTTATTGGTCCAGCAACAGCTAAGCTCTCGCTCTTCTGTCAAATTCCATGCAGCGATAAGTGCAGGTTTATATTTAAGGTGAGGTGAGGGTTGTGCCTGCAAATTGACTTGTCATGTCAATGTGCCCGTCTTTACTTCAAGAAAAAAACTAGTTGTTTTGTATAAATATATGTATTGGAATCTGCTTCCATGAAATCTGTGGAACTACTGGATTTTCTTCAATGTAACCAGGTTTTTGGTTTAAAGTGTTTGCTCAAATAGAAGGGAAAAAAATCAGGGATGTTATTTTCCCCTTGGTTTACCGCTCTTTTTGGGTTAATCAGATATTCTGTTTAAGGGGACTCCTCTATATATTTCTTAAGTCTGCTGATCAAGTTGGATACGTACCATGATATTCCTAGTCAATTGTGACCTGTGACTAGCCAGTAGCCCTTTTTCTCTTCTTCCAGCTGGAACTTGACTTTGGGGAACTTCTCAAAGAAAAAGAATCTCTGGAGCAGCTGGTGGCAGGCCAGGAGGGAGGGGTGACCGCTGCAGAGAAGCTCCAGTCTGTCCAGTCCGTGGCTCCGTCTGACGAGACAGCGTCACTCCAGGTGGCGTATGAGCAGGTGGCGGCGGAGAAGGACGAGGTGGAGGCTTCGCTGGAGCAGCTTCGTCTGGACAATGCCAGTCTGCAAGACCAGGTGAGAGGGACGTTTGGCTCACAATTTTTTACACTGTTTACGCTCTTTTTTTTTAAAAACTCAAAATTCTGGTTCTCATTTTTAAATATTTTTTTTTATAGTAGAGGGTTTTATGGCGCTCGCAACTGCATAAGGTCTTATGAGCGCTAAGGGGTGGGTGTCAACAGAGAAGTCTTTACAGGGAATCAGACTGAGATTGCTCACCTCTCTAGCTTCAACAGCACCAGGTCTGCTTCAACTATCAAGGCACCCCAAAATAGCAGGTCACAAGAGGGTGACAAACATACAAAAGAAGTAGAGGAAAATGACAATAGTAAGGATCAGGAAAGAAAAATCAGCAGTTCCCTGTTGTAGATCAGGCACAGTTATGAGCGTGACATGAGTCAGCCCATTTACTATTCTACTATGCTTGAACGAGAAATGTCCCCCCTTTGGGAATGGCCTAAAGACACCAGTCAGTGGTACTGCCCCGAGGGGGATTCTGGTTCTCAAAGAGATAGATAGAGTTGGCCTACTATATAAAATTGCATCTTCCCTCAACGCTTAAGTACAAAACAGGGATGAAAAAGTAAGCAAAGAGACAGGTTGGGACAACGGTTACAGGATGAGCAAGATCAGAAAGTTTAAGGTTTACAAATATCTCTCTGGCAATTTGTAGAAACGTTGCCTGTATCATTGTTAAAATTTCGACCACTTGAGCTAGCCGCACACATCAGAAAGGCTGAGGTGTTTAGAAAATTTAGTGAAATTATCTTTCATCAGGAAATTGAAGTGTAGGGGGAATCATTTGTCTCTGATTCTTAGTCTTGGTTAGAGGAATGTAGATTGGGAATTTGTGTGGAAAGATTTGAATTTATATGTCTACTCCGCACGTTATCTCTTGAGATAGCCAGGTACATTTCAAAGTATTTAAGGTCAGATTTATTGCAAATTGTCAGGCCTATTCCTGAAGTATGCAGTTTTCTTAACCAGAAAGTTAGGTTATATTAAGTTTTGAACAAAATTATGGGAAAAGCTAATAGATTTAAATCAGATGGAATCATACATCAATCTTGTTTATCTGTAGGGTTCAGCACCATAGTATATAGTTACAATGGTTGTTTATTTTCAGGTGAAAAAGTTGGAGAGTAATCAGGTGGATTTGCTGGCAGCTAACGGCAACAACAATGTCGGGGAGGAGAAGGAGTCAGACAGTAGCGAGGAGCTGAGCAAGTCTCGGGAAGAGCTGATCACGCTGAAGAAACAAGTAGCCAGGCTCACTAAGGACGTCTCCGTGAGTAACATGTAGATGCAGAGCCAGAACAGGACATTTTGCTTTTCAGTTTGAGTTCTCTGCTGAGTTGTTTTTCCTTTACGAAAATGGGCTGATGTACCCATTGTACTGTTTTCTGTATTTCTTCTTCTCCTTCCTCGCTCTCGATGACAGCCGCTAGACAGTCAGTCTGATGTCGCGCACAGACTGTGCAGTCCACTTCAAATCTGAGAGACTGCCATAGAGTTTTCTTTCAAGGGGAGTCACATTCTGCCACGTCTGCGTACGAAGGGTGGCGTAGCGCGGGCTGTGCTGAAGAATATGGCAGGCATCCTCTTGGTCGTGTCCACATTCACAGGTTGCGGACTCTCCCACTTTTGATTTAGTGTGCATAGTGTATTTCAAGGAACTCCTATGGTACTTGTAGATATATACAGTCGAAATTGTCCAAGATTGCCTTCCTTTGACGAGGTGATACGTGAATGTCTCTTGGACAATGTCATTATCATACAGAAAATATACGGGGGTGGGGATGGGGGGAGTGGGAAGTGGTCATTTGTATAGGTGATTGTCTTGGACAGATGGCCATTAGAGAAGATTCGACGGTATTTATGTTTTGAAATACAGCTATGTTTGCATAAGTTACAATTTGCTTTTGGACATGTTTGTTCTCATTTAACAGAATTTTCTCCTGACAGTTTAATGGCTGTCGACATACAAATATGTCTTGAAATGTACTCAAGAACATAACGGACAACTACAGACTGATGTTCAACACATGAAAAATTTTCTTTCAGTTCAAGTCCCTCGGTTGTTATTTTCAAATCCCTTTAGCTGCGAGATTTTCGCTCTTGACAGTGCAATGCCTCCCTCAAGTAATTACAGTCCCTCTGTTGATTTGTGCTGAAGTCTTCGGAGCATCAACTTAGACTATGAATAACTGCAGTTGTTCTATTGTTGTGGAGACATATACTTTTCTTTATCTACACTACTCCGAGAAACTAATTTATTGTTGTAAGCAGAGATTTCCATGCCTCTTCAAGTGGATAGTTAATGAGTAGTCTAGGTGATATGGATTGCTCCTTTCTTCCTATCAATTATCGTCCATATTTCTACTTCTTTTCTTTGTATGTTACTCTCTTGTATCACCTTTTATCTCTGACAATTATATGACCCAATTCAGTGTTGTGAGTGCAGTAAAACTCTTACTAAAATTAAACTAAAAGTAAAGCTTCTCCAAATCTTGAAGACTACTATTTAGGAAAAAAATAATGGAGCTGAAAGTATGCAAATCTTTTAAAAAAATGCAAAGTGTGGTAAACATGGACAAATACTGAATATATAGTAAATACTCTTGTTTTACTAATATTTGTCTGGAAAACTGTATTTGCTGTGCTAGTAGTGAACACATTCTGTTTTATATTAAAATAGCATCATTGTCTCCCTCTCTCTCTCTCTCTTAGGCTTTTTTTGTCCCTCTCTTTCATAGCTATATCTCTGGCTAAAAGTGATTGATCTTGATTCTTGACTATTTTCCTGTTGTGTCTACAGGAGTGGGAAAAGAGACACTCGGACACTGTGACCACGTACAGGACACATTTGCTGAGTGCTGTTCAGGTATGTTAGGTAGCTCTGTGTAGATTTTGTGATTTGACTGAACTTGCTACATCTTGAGCCCTTTCTTTTTGGTTGTTTCCCGTTTTCTTAAGCTATATAGGTGGTTGGGAGGTGTCTTTGGCTATCTTTTTTCATGTATCTCTGTTGTTTCTGTCTGTCTGTTTTACTTACTCCTGGTCTTAAATGACCATCATCATGTCGACATTCAGTTTTGTTTGACTAAAAAGACAGTTTCTTATATTTTCATGGAATAATTTGTTATCGTACTAGCATTTTGTAATTTTTGTAAAAAAAAAAAAGATTTGAACATAGCTTAATTACAACTTGCGAATATAGTCTATGAAACTTTCAGATATATCGCGACTTCAGCGCTTTCTTGTCCTATCCCCATTTTTAATAACCACGAAAACAGTTCATAACAAAGAGGGAGCTTAAAAAGAAGTCACATTTTCAATGTTTAAAAAAATGGAGATAGGACAAGAAAGCACTGAGGTCGCGATATATCGATCTTTGTTTGTTCTACAGTAATATTGAAAAGCATTGAAACTAAATGAGCTGTCTCCCCAAATGAGTTAAATTGTCATTTTTCCTACATCTTCAGGGTCACATGGATCCGGACGTGAAAGATGCTCTGTATCACATTATCGAACTGCGTAGTATGGAACAGTTTTGTTGATCAAGATGACCTCCGACTGATAATCCAGACAAGTGAAATTTTATGATTTAAAACAATTTTACTTCCCCTGTGAGCATATCATCTGTGTCTGATGCTAATTGTATATATCTTGCCAAACTTACGGAGCAATGCTTAAAAAGAAAAATGTAATTATTTATTGCTATGCAACACCATGATGACCATGCCTTTAGTCAGAAAATGAGGAAAGAGAGAAAGAGGCAGACCAGCTGCCCCATATGTAAAAAACACCTGAAAATATCAGCTCCTAAGATCTTCAGGAAAGCAAGAATCTTGAGGATGGTGATGCAAAATGAGGCACATGTCAGCGGCTACCATCATGATTAATTACGGGTCTGGCAAACAAACTATACGCAGAGTTAGTGTGAGATTTAGATGATATGTGTATACATCCCAATGCATGAGAGTGTGAAGAAGACTTTCTATGTATATATACTTATTTGCATCTGTGTGTGTACTGTACATATGTGATATAAGATTGTGAAAGAGTACTAAAAGCAATTCTATGTGAGTGTGTGCTATGAGTGATTGTATTTATGAGAATACTTCTTAAAGAGCCTGCTTTGTTTGCTTTTGAAACTACAGAGTCTACACCTTGAAGTTGAGGTATATATATATATATTATTTCTGTTTTGTTTCCTACCTTCTGACAAGGAATGCTACTGTAGAGTTATGTACGTGTTTGTATCTCTCCACATGACATAAGTTGTGCTGCACGAGGCTTTCAGGATCCCTCAAGCAGTCGGAGTGGGAACAGCTGATTGTACAGATTTTGGTTGTTGCTGAAACTCTATACATGAACAAATTTTGAGACCTTTATTGAAGACTTCAATTTCAAGAATTACAGGTGCTGTCACTTGCTTGTAACATCGTGGCTACCCAACGTTTAATTCAGCCTTTTTTGTGTAATTGTTCCCTGAAACCATATTTGCAGTTGAAATGTTATGTTTTGAAATGTTTCCAGATAACATTCTGCCCATCTTTTTCAAGAAGATACTCATCACTTTTCTAATTATTCATTTAAAAAAAGGTCAGTAGGTAATAACGAATGATCCCTCAAAACAATGAGCTGTCCTAGATGTGATTGTAGCCCCTGGCGCATCTTAACCTAATGCTGTAAATGTATTGCAGCTTTGTTCCTTTTTTACCTGGGTTTAAGCTGTATTCAAGGCTTTCAAGGTTTTGATTATTTGAATCTTGACCACACCACAAACAACTTCAGCCCAATCTATCTCCTACCTGATGCTGCTGTTGAGAAGCGTTTGTAGTGTGTTTCTAAATCTACATTTGCAGTGTGAAGCATTGCCGATCACTTTTTGGAAGGAGTAGAGTTAGGATTTTTAGACAGCATATTCGAAAGCATTGTAAGGGATTTGTGCAACTTAGTCTCACAAATTATGTCTGAATTTCTGAACAGAATTTTTGTGAAAGCAACTGAGCAAGCTCATGAAAAGAGTCAGGAGTCAGAAGTATGACTGGCTTGTTATATAAAGAAAACTATTATTATTGAGAGATAGATCAAATGAATGTAGGGGGAAGAAATTTGACTGTTTGTCTCAATGTTGCCTGGAGTTTTGGAATGTGCACAAAAGTGATGGAGATGTGTTGAATTCTGTTTAGACATAGATTTCCACAAATATTTTGGCGTTTGTTAAATATTTGCATTTACGAATGCTGTTGTGTTATTTGAACCCTTTTTTTTTGTGAGAAGGAGATTTTTTTTCCTGTTGCAAATGGAGTTGTGATTGTTTCAGAGATACTCTGGTGTTTCAACGACATGTCTTTTGCCTTGAGATCAGTTCATCTATTTGCAGAGTCTTTCTTCAAACGAGATATGATGTTATCAAATGCATTTGATTGCTTTAGTCTTTCTGCTGTCTCCCAGTTATTGTTGCTCCTTGAATTAACCTCAATAAGCATTCCATTTAAGTACTTATCATTCCAAGGTGATGGTTCAGGTTTTCCAGGCACTTTTTATTCCGCTGACTACACATTTCATAAAATTTTAATACAGCGAATGAATGTGATCATTTTGTTCCTTTGTTCTTTTCTTTATCTACACTGTCTGGTCTAAACGTTTATTTTCTTACAGTCTCAAACAACTTGTGATTTTTACCAGTAACTTGTGAAACGTTCCATTTTATCTTTTTGACAAGGGTCATTGAACTTTTTGTTGAGATATTCTTTTGTGCTAATTATACAGCTGAAACTTTGTATATTATTTATACTGTTTGGTTGTGAACTGTTGCATGTTGCAGTGTGCATGTGTGGGTCGATCATCAAATTTGTTGAAGCGATTCAAGTTTAAAAAAAAACACTCTTACTTTTGAGACTGCATTCAACAGACGATACATTTTCTTTATTTTTTAGTTGTTTATATCCTGATAAATGTGTGGAAAGCTCACTACTTGAGATAGAAGTAGTGATATTCTGTCACACAAATGTTTGGTTCATGCGTTCTTGGTCTAGCTGCCGTCTGGCTGAAAAGCTGTTTTGTTTTACACGCCTGGGCGTCTGCTGACTTTGTGAGTTGCACAGCTGAGATGTCTCCTCATCTTGACACTTTCTTTTTGAAGTCTTTTGTTATTTATCTGAGTGTTGAAGTTTTGATGGTTAGTGTTACTACTGTTGCCATTTAATGCTTTGCCGCCTCATCTCGCCCATTGGCAATGTTTACCACTCACTTTCTTCGGATTTTCCCCGAAATATGATGGCAAAGTGTTAAGCCAACCGTATCTCATTATTTTAATTTTTATAAATTTGTCACACTCTACCTTTCCTGTGATCTTGAGTTGGTGTTTAGTAATTGGCGTAAGATAGGGATTGCTGTTCTGTATCTCCTGGAAGAAGTGTTCTCTGCTGATTAGACAACAGTTTAATCTACACCATGTAGAGAAAGTGTACCCAAAAGAAAGAAGGTCATCATAACTAAGAATATTTTTTCTGTTATTTTCAGAGAAATTGTTATAATTTTTGTAATAGATTTCAATAAATTATTTATATAGATATATTAACGTCACAAATGGTTGTAAGATGAAGAGAAAAAAGTCGTTATATAAATTCTACATGATAAATTACTCGTGTATTCTCAAAATGATATCATTAATATTGTCTTATGCTGAGCGAACAATGAAGAATGAAGGCCACAAAGCCTTGTTGCTTTGAAGGACGAAATATAGAGGATTATTTTCTACCCACCTTTATTTCATACTGACTACAACAGAAGTTTTTACTTGTATTCAAAAAAGGTTTATAAATAGTGTATCTAATGTGTTAAACTAGGTCTTCTGGAGGTGTAAAAAAGTCTTATCTGACATGGTATACTAGGTCTTCTTGTTGCTTTGTGTGTTTATTTGTTTGCTTGTTTGTTTGCTTGTTTGCTTAACTTTGTTTGGTTTCTAGTATAAAGCAGATATACCACTTGCTCTCCAATGCCATAGCAATGCCTATGATTCAACAACAAGTTTGTGAATCGCGTACGGTTTGCATTGACATTCCAGTCTACACGTCAAATTAGAAGTTGCTTTAGCTTGTTTTATATCTACTGTACTGACATAAATACATAGAGATTTCAATTTGCATTTGTGTACCTTTTTTTTCTTTCCTGCTATTTATTATTGCAAAATGTTAGAAGAATTTTTGTGCGAGTAAAGCGTACAGTTTCATTTACATTAGACAACGCACCACCTGCTCTTGCCTGTTCATGTTTCTTGTTCCAGCGCTTGAAAAGCTTGTTCATTATTCTAGTAATCTTTTTATCAGTTCATGATGCTTATGCAGATCATTATTTATGACCGTTTTGTTGATAATGATTACATTGTGTGTAAATGAGTTTTTGTCTTTATTTGATTTTACCCTCAAATTGATTGAAAGTTGAATGTCACTTTGTTTGGTGTGGTCAGATGTAGGCTTCCATGAGTTTTTGATGATAGTTTTTTACATCAACATTTATGACTTAAGAGGGTTAATTTGTTTTTTCTTGTTTTTTAATTTTTGGAGAGGGTTTTTTTTTTCCATTGAAAAATATAACGAGAAGTCATTTACTCACATTGTGGTCTAAGAATGATGTATTGCGTTTATACCTGTTATTTTCCCATTTACCTGGCCACGGATTTTTTTCGCCCCCTCCTGCCCACCCAGCAGTAATAGGTACCTGAATTCGAGTTGGGGAAGTAAAGGCGGCGTGGAAAGGAACTGGCCACCCTACCACAATATGCCGAAGGCCCAGGAAGTTGTCTCGCTGACAAAGGCAATCCCTAATGTCCGGATCGGATGCGGGAACAACTTTACATGGGGTTATGGAGTGCAGAAGTGGTCGTATTTGTGTTGAAATATCATGACATTAGGAAGCATATAAGCATCTCTCTTTTTCTTTTTGATTTTATTTAGCTACCTCAGAGAATGAGACTTTTTGTATCTGGTGCTTCCTTCGTGAGTTATCAAAGTCGGGATACTTGCCGCTCTCGACTCTCATATCAATCATCAGTGCTGTTATTGCATTGTCTTGTTCAAATTTCATTTTGTTTGTTGCAGATCAAAGTTTTGTCTTGTTTAAAGTTTTTAAAAACTTTTTTTTTTGAATAAGGGTTGCATTGACCCCCATCAGAAATTATTATTCATTTTTATTATTAGTACCGTACCAAAAACTTGAATTTTTGGTTTTTGTTGTTGTTGTTGTTTTATGAGTATTTTGTTTTGCACATCAAGTATGCTAGGCAACAAGATATTAACAAGATGTAGTTGTGTTTTTTAGTACTCCATTATTAGTAGTACTTATCATAATAGTGTAGTGCAGGTTTACTCAAGCTTGATATTTTATCAGTAGCTAGGAGTAATATTATTCCATTAAAAGGCAACCCATATTTTATTATCAGCATTATTCTCACTGTTTTGAAATATAATATAATGTGAAATTTGTTGCAGCAATCATGGAATTTATTTTGTACGGTAAACACTTAACGTAAACCAGTGCTTGGATTTCACTTTCTCGTTTGCTCAGTTACATGTATTTGATGTGGAGAATAGTGGATTTTTTCAGGTGTTTTTGACTCTCTCAGTTGTCTGGGCAGAGTTCAGAATTATATATGTATTTATGTAATATGAATGCTTTTTTTTATAGTTTGATTAAAATTAAAGGGCAAGGCTATTATTAGGATAAGTTTTGAAAGCTTGGAATGGTTGACTTTGAATTTGTGGTTGGAAAAGTTTTGTATTGTTTTATGTATGCACTATTTTTTGGTTTTCCACTTTAGTGAGAGTCTGTCTGTGTGAAGGCTGTGTATCTGTTTGAAGCTTAAGCCCCAGTGAAAAGGAAATGTAAGTGTTAACAAATTATTTTGCTCTTGAAGGTTCAGAATATTTTTTTTCTGGTGTCTAGTAATGAATATTTTCTCTCCAGTACTTTGGCCTTTATGAAAAATGTTTTGTAAATTTATGATTTCTTACATAAAGAAGATCTGTGGCATGTTGCTGTGATGTATGTGTATTTTCTTCAGCATGTTCTCATGGGCATGCTCTAACAATGTTGGTGGCAGCCCAGCACTCATCCTCCGTGGACTACCAATCTTATAAGGTCGCTTTTAAGGACAAGTGGGCTAACCCAGATTTTGGGGGTTTCCTGAAAACTTTACCTACACCAAATGTGGGCATTACCCTACCTATGGGAGGAGTTTGGTTTCATTGGTGTGTATATTTATTTGGTTATAGAGAAAACTCTCCTTATCTTTTATAGAAACTGAACAAGGGGCAAAAACTTTACCTTCCATTTTCTCAAAACAGCATTTTTCGGGATAGCCCCCTTGGGCTTAAAAGCGACCATATCATTTCACCAAGCATGTTTATCACACTTTCTTTTTATATGGCATTGCTACTTTGTTTTTGGCTCACTTGAAAGGCACTGCAGAAGGTGACTTCACAGTTTGACTAGTGGAGTGCTTTGTGTGTTCTTGTAAATTTTTGGCCAGGAAAATTTGAAACTATTGTCTCTGTTTGTAGGTCAGAATTGTTCTCATTTATTTACAGCTGCATGACTGTCTTGCCATAGGGCTGAAGTGTAGATAGAGTGCACGCCGGAGAAGAGTTATAAAAAAAAAATTCTTTACCTCTTGATTCTCTGTAGTGTAAAAGAAGATATTTTTTGAGGAAACCAGTATCATGTTGGGGTGTCATCCTTAGCCCATACCGACAAGTATGCGTGCCACAATTTGTCAAAACAAAACAAGTATGTGTGTTATCTTTTGTCAAAAGAAGACATGTGTGCATGTCATCCTTTAAAAGAAAACGTATGTATGTCATCCTTTGTGAAAATGAAAAATGTATGTGTGCCATCCTTTGTCCAAACAAAACATATGTGTATCACCATTTGTCAAAACAAAACGTGTGTATGTCATCCTTTGCCAATATCAACGTGTATGTGTGTCACCATTTGTCAAAACAAACTATGTATGTGTGTTATCCTTCATCAGAACCAACACCATGCATAGTGTGCATACCACTCAATAGTATTATTGCCAAACTTTGACATTTTTTTTTTTTTCCTTTAAGCCAATGTGTTGGTATTTGACCCAGCTGTTGCCAATTCATATTTTGGTGTGTATTGTGCCTTTTGTGACTACACTGATCTACATCCTGTCACGGAAG